TGTGGGCCAATAGCAGCTGCCCCGTATGGGCCAATAGCAGCTGCCCCGTATGGGCCAATAGCAGCTGCCCCGTATGGGCCAATAGCAGCTGCCCCGTATGGGCCAATAGCAGATGCCCCATATGGGCCAATAGCGGATGCCTCGTATGGGCCAATAGCAGGTGCCTCGTATGGGCCAATAGCAACTGCCTCGTATGGGCCAACAGCAGCTGCCTCGTATGGGCCAACAGCAGCTGCCTCGTATGGGCCAACAGCAGCTGCCTCGTATGGGCCAACATCAGCTGCCTCGTATGGGCCAACAGCAGCTGCCTCGTATGGGCCAACAGCAGCTGCCTCGTATGGGCCAACAGCAGCTGCCTCGTATGGGCCAACAGCAGCTGCCTCGTATGGGCCAACAGCAGCTGCCTCGTATGGGCCAACAGCAGCTGCCTCGTATGGGCCAACAGCAGCTGCCTCGTATGGTCCAATAGCAGCTGCCTCGTATGGGCCAATAGCAGCTGCCTCATATGGGCCAATAGCAGCTGCCTCGTATGGGCCAATAGGAGCATTTGGCCATGAACACATTCAGAACACCTCGAGTGAGAGCAGCCACACCCAGCCTGTCTCCCTCACTCCAACATCTTACTCGCCAACATTGCTCCTCCCACCATATTGTTATAGTTCTTATTACACATGTTCTATATACCTATCTACATGTTTTATTTACCAGAACTATGCAAGTAAGCCGGTATTGTGTCCAAACAGTACAGTGGCCACCATACACTGCATGAAAAATCACACAGCAGACGACGCTACGATTACGTCACCTCCCTCACCAAAATAGCTCCTCTCAACATTCTCCTGTTGCTGTTCTTACACTATATACACACACTATATATACCCATGTACATATGTGTTGCACATAGCGAACCACTAAGCTAGTATGGTGAGCAAAACAAGAGTGGCAGCCACACACACAATGAGGCTACCTCAATTCTCGCCCTCCCTCCCGCATCAAAATTCCTCCTTCCACAATACTATGCACAATGCTAATTATAACCACATTCCTGCTATTATCACAATCCTGGTCACTAATTCCTGTAAATGAATAATTGACCACACGTTTATTTTGAAAAGGAACCTAAGAAATCATTTGAAGATTCCTAGATGAACGAAATAATGCTGTGGTGCTGTGGCTAGCGCTGTGAACATCATGAACAGCATTGAATCACTGATATTTGAACATTGTACCCAGTCATTATTACACTCAGGCTCTAATATAACACTATCATAGCTAAATAATACAAGTTATATATATATTTTGACATTATTAGGCGATGCTGTGGTCACATGCTGAACAGCAGTGCTGTGCGCTCATGCTGCGAGCGCCAGCCTTGGTTGCTCACACACTACTGAGGCTTCCACACCCGGGAATGTGGACCAGGATTTTTTTTAAAGATAGCGTCTGTTTACAAGAGTCCTGAGGAAGCTGATGTGAACCCCATGTAGCCGTGGGAGTTTTGAATGGAACGTGAAAAATACAAATACCTGGAGGCGCGTTGCGCAAACCAGACGTGAGCCTCCAGGCGCGTTGCGCAGTTTAAGGGTTAAGCTGCTAAGAGGTCTTGAGGAGATCTAAACCTAAAAATTTTTTCGTCTTCTAAAAATGTTAATTTGTGCTCCTTGAGCATGGAAAAAAAATTGTAGGCGACATTTTGGCCGCAATAGGCCGAGGAAGTCTGGCAAAATGTGGGCGTTGACAGAGCGGTCGTCAGTGGCAGTTAGCGTCACCCGAGCTGACAGGTGGGAGTTGCCACAAAGATATTATTACCTAATTATTTCAATGTCTATGATTGATGTTTTCTTAGTTTTTTTGCAGTAATATTATTCAATAGTGTGTAGTGTGATAGATAGATCCAATGGTTTCTTGGAAGACATCATAAGAAGGAAAGTGAAACGCTATGCAACCTCTGAAGAGACAACTAACACAACACCTATACCCCCTATTAGACTATTTTACAGGAACTTCTTTTCCACAGCCCATAAAATGGAGGAAAGGGTCCTGAAAGATATTGTCAGTAGAAACATTATCCCTACAGACAAAAATCAGAAGATACAACTGACGATTTACTATAAAACCGGAAAAAACAGCCAGCCTACTCATGAGAAACTCTCCAGACACAAAGCAGAACACTTTACAAGAGACCAACGTCGTCTATGCCTTCAAATGCCCTCTTGGGGACTGTAAGCCTCAAAAAACCCAGTATATAGGCAAGACAACAACATCTCTTTCCAGGCGTTTAACGATGCATAAGCAACAGGGCTCCATTAAGGAACATATAATCTCTTCCCACAAACAAACCATCACCAGAGAAATCTTAGCAAACAACACAGAAATCATCGATAGATACAGCGATAGCAGGCGGCTTGACGTCTGCGAGGCACTACACATCAAGAAGTCAACACCAGCAATCAACAGCCAATTAATGCACAACTATATTCTACCCACTTCAAGACTCCGCTCCCATATAGAAGCATCAAGAAATATGGACCAATAGGCTTTCTACAATTACTTCCATTCAATACCCATTGTTTCGTGTTCTGTCTTGTGTTTGAATTTAATACCCATTCAATACCCATTGTTGAAAGTTTGTTTTCACCTCATCCACCTCACCCAAATGTAGATATAAACTCGAAGATGTGTAAGCTCTATTCAGTTTCAGTTGTGTGTTTGTAAACTAAAGTCTTTGAAAATGTAATAAGTTTTACGAAACGCGCTCAAGTGTCGCGTCAGACTAGAAATAAAAATGAATTTTGGAGAATTGATCTTTGAATTTCCATCAACAGTGAAAAGAAACGTAAGAAAGATAGAGAAAATGTGTGTTAGAATTATTAATCTTACTTTTTCGGTCATATTTAATAATATATGTCTACAGGAAAGACTGCTACCAAACTATACTAATATATATATATATATATATATATATATATATATATATATATATATATATATATATATATATATATATATATATATATGCGAACAAGCCTGAATGGTCCCCAGGAATATATGCGACTGAAAACTCACACCCCAGAAGTGACTCGAACCCATACTCCCAGGAGCAACGCAACTGGTAACTACAGGATGCCTTAATCTGCTTGACCATCATGACTGGACATAAGGAAGTGATAGCCGAAGCTATTTGAACCACTTCCTCGCCGGCACTCGGATGGTAATCTTGGGCATATAGTCCTGGGAACCATTAGGGCTTGTTTGCATTTGTGTTCCTCACGTGTGCCCCAAAGAATGAGGTGATTTGATAAAATGCTATGCCCTACGCTACATAGGGCATAGCATTTATGCTAAAATGCATAGCTAAAATGCTACGAGGGGGCCTCGTAGCCTGGTGGATAGCGCGCAGGACTCGTAATTCTGTGGCGCGGGTTCGATTCCCGCACGAGGCAGAAACAAATGGGCAAAGTTTCTTTCACCCTGAATGCCCCTGTTACCTAGCAGTAAATAGGTACCTGGGAGTTAGTCAGCTGTCACGGGCTGCTTCCTGGGGGTGGAGGCCTGGTCGAGGACCGGGCCGCGGGGACACTAAAGCCCCGAAATCATCTCAAGATAACCTCAAGATAACCTAACCCTGAGACAAGGGGACAGAGCAGCCCTCAAACTCACATAAAGTGAGGAGAGGGGGGGGGGGACTCAGGGGTCCGATGGGTCCTGTGACGGAACTCACTCTCAGGGAAACCCAGGCAGAGGTATTGCTAACCGGCGCCCAAGTCTACCAACAACTTTCAAAAGTAACTGAAACCCCAGGATGTGTACACTCACAGGGACCTAGCATGGAGGTACCACCAGAACAGAGAAGCATATGCTACATACACTGGGGGCAACAACCAAGGCAGACCCCCTATCAGGCAAGAAAACATAAAGAAAAAGAAAACCCCACAAGAGGACAGCGTACCCAGGTAGAACAGAGCCGGCCTCTACGTGAGATGAAAACTAGCTGCACAGTATTCTGCACCCCTACCAGTGCAAACCTGCCTTCTACCCTAAGGTAACAAGGATGCCAGAACACCGCAGCACTCAAAGAGCGGCCAAAAGCCGAGCAGCAAATGACCAAGCAGAGGCAGAACCCAAGAAACTTGTGGAAGGAGGCTCCAAGCCCCAAGGGCAATACTTACCGGGCACCTAAGCTCATGCAGCCCGAGTACTGAAGAATTACTTCTGGCTCGCCCATTCCCAATATGACAGACACCACACCACACAGACACAGAGTTGAGAACCAATGTCAGAAGCCAGAGCGCATAACTTCCGCCTAGCGCATCAGTCTTAGAACTGGGATCATGGGTAGCTGGCACGAGAGGTCTGGGGAAGGGGGAAGGGGGAGCTGCGCAGACGGAGGCACAGCGACGTCATGCTCGTTTGTTCGTGTTTGTTTGCAGAATTCTGTTCACTAGTTCGGCTCTCAGTAGCAATTTTCTACACCAGAATAGGGGTTTGTTTTGGGGTGCTTACCTTTCTGGGTGCCTGACCCGGTTGATGGCAGACATAGAATGCTTCCATCCACATGGGGGTTTCTATAGGCCATTGCTCCTCGTGCCTCTCTGCGGGGGCCAGGTTCTGGCTCGTGGTCCCCGGTAGGCCTAAGAACTCCATTCATACTGACTGATGCCAAAGTCTAATATTAGCAATATCAGCCTGAATAGCTCCGGGGAGCCAACGGGGCTCTCCTCGGAAAAGGGCACGTAATATTTTAAGGCAGCACGGTGGTTAATCAACCAAGCTGTGGCTCATTCAGACTACGTGCAGCTGCATCACACAGCCTGGTGGATCAGACCAACAACCAGGAGGCCTGGTCAGAGACTGGGCCATGGAGACAATAACCCTTGGAATTTTACATTGGTAGGTATGTATTGGTGACAACCTAAACATCACTTCCGTTATTTCAGATGTGTGGGTTGTGTGTTTATACTGTTAATATACATTTGTACAGTGCCATAATTTATACTAACTGGGTGAGGTCTTGTTATTAGTTCTTTCACTACATCAACATGACCCATCATAGCAGCGTGCATTAATGGTGTATCACCAGCCCAATCTCGAGTATTACGGTGAAGGTATGGCTGTTTATGCAGGAAACGCACCACTGCTATCTGTCCTCCCACACATGCACTTGATAGCAATGTGTAACCATCTGCATCTGCTGCATTGATGTCATTACCATCTTGTAAATACTGTCTCACTTTTAAAATTTCCCCATTCTTGGCAGCCAGGTAGAGTCCCTATGAAGAAACAAATATTGAAAAATTAATTGACAGTCAAGGTGTTAATATATTTGTATTTTTTTTGTGAGATCAGTGAGATCATCCTAGATCAAAATGCTACTAATAACAATTCACACACTAAAGTAAAGAATTTAAGTTTTATTAGTAAACATAATATAAATTTTATAACTCATTCTCCTGTTTAGATAGTAGTTTTTGTAACAATGCGCACCATGGTTTAAAGATTGACATTCTAAGCAATTAGATAGTAGAATTTTGTACTATTCAGTTTAGAGTCAGAAAAATTAAGCTAAAAAACAAACTTAAATATTCCTAGGCCTAGTATAGCATGCATATGTACTATATTAGGCCTCAGATGGCATGTATTAGGCCTTGGAAGGTTAGGTTAGGTTAGTTTAGTTTTTTACCTGAATTTACCTGAAGATCACCAATACTAGTGGCCTCGACGAGGACAGGAAGCTGGCGGCTTGTCAAAGGTCGCCCCATTTGCTCAGATTATATTTTCTATCTGTATTTTAAAACCCAGTACCTGGTTGATACCTGGTTGATGGGGTTCTGGGAGTTCTTCTACTCCCCAACCCCGGCCCGAGGCCAGGCTTGACTTGTGAGAGTTTGGTCCACTAGGCTGTTGTTTGGAGCGGCCTGCAGGCTCACATACCCACCACAGCCCGGTTGGTCCGGCACTCCTTGGAGGAATAAATCTAGTTTCCTCTTGAAGATGTCCACAGTTGTTCCGGCAATATTTCTTATGCTTGCTGGGAGGACGTTGAACAACCGTGGACCTCTGATGTTTATACAGTGTTCTCTGATTGTGCCTATGGCACCTCTGCTCTTCACTGGTTCTATTCTGCATTTTCTTCCATATCGTTCACTCCAGTACGTTGTTATTTTACTGTGTAGATTTGGTACTTGGCCCTCCAGTATCTTCCAGGTGTATATTATTTGATATCTCTCTCGTCTTCTTTCTAGTGAGTACATTTGGAGGGCTTTGAGATGATCCCAATAATTTAGGTGCTTTATTGCGTCTATTCGTGCCGTATATGTTCTCTGTATTCCCTCTATTTCAGCAATCTCTCCTGCTCTGAAGGGGGAAGTGAGTAATGAGCAGTACTCAAGACGGGACAACACAAGTGACTTGAAGAGTACAACCATTGTGATGGGATCCCTGGATTTGAAAGTTCTCGTAATCCATCCTATCATTTTTCTGGCTGTCGTAATATTTGCTTGGTTATGCTCCTTAAACGTTAGGTCGTCAGACATTATTATTCCCAAATCCTTTACATGCTGTTTTCCTACTATCGGTACATTTGATTGTGTTTTGTACTCTGTATTAAGTAGAGTTATAGCATTTACAGCTTCGGTAGGAAGGTGGTTCCATGGGTTTACAACCCTATGGGTGAAAAGGCATCTGTTTTCTGTCCTACATTGTGGCTTGTTGAGCTTGAACCTGTTGCTCCTCATTCATGTTACATCTGCTCTTTTGAAGAAAGTGTCCAGATCGACATCGCCCAAATTGTTTAGTGTTTTGAAGGTTTCTATTAGATCCGCCCTGTCATGCCTTATCTGCAGCGTTGTTAGCTCAGTGGCCCTCAACCGTTCCTGATACGAGAGATAACTAAGGTCTGGTATGATTTTTGTTGCCCCGTGTTGCACCTTCTCCAGAGCAGCTATGTCTTTTCTGGAGATCATGTCTCCATGCCTGGATACAATAATCCAGGTAGGGGTGCACCAGAGACTTATACAGTTGAACGACTACTTTCTTTTCCTTGATGGTAAAGGTAAGCTTGATAATTTCCAAAGTTCTTTCACTTTTTTTACTGCCACTCCCACTTGCTGTGCAACTTTTAGTGAATGAGGGATTCTGATACTAAAGTCCTTTTCTTCATCTATCTATTGCAAGACAGTGCTATCAATTTGGTAGTAGTGACATGGATTGTTATGTCCCACATGCAAGGTTTTGCATTTTATCAACATTAACCAGTACTCTGCATTAAAATATGGCACCCCTGTGATGTGCCAAAAATAAATTATTCCCAATTTTTTTTCTCTTTTTATATTGTTAAAATGTAGTCTCTGATCACGGGAAACTAAAAACAAATATTGTATGTGACAAACTGTAGCCGTGATGGAGCTGGGAAGTTGAGCAAATTATGGGCACTGAGCGATGGAACGCTCGGGGTCACTCGACCCTGCCACCACGTGGGGCGGCAGTTGCTCTGAATACAATGTTTATAATTATTTTGATGTTTATCATTCGATTCATCTCTTTTTTTTTGCTGTAACATTATTCAAAATTGTGTAATTTGTGGAATTTATATATTTCAATGTGTGAAACATCACTATGCTCAAAATTATGGGGCTCATATACAGTACAACCTCGATTCAACGTATTATATGGGACCAACCCCAGTTCGTTGGAGCGTTGGATTCGTTGCAAGAGGTGACCTTCAGGAGGCGTTTGTGTCAGTGTCTTTTTTTTTTCTTGTACACAATAAAAATGCATTATCACATTACATACTGTAAATATATATTACTTCTCTACTAAAAAATACTGTAATTCAAAAATTTACCTAATTGAAGTTATGTCCTTCTTGAAGTTTCGTGAAATTGTGAATGCTCTACAGTAAATACGTACTGCAGTGCGTTATGCTGTTAGCATGGTGTTGATTAAAAGTAGTTCTGCTGTATGTTGAGTACTACAATACAGGTTATGAAAACTATTGTACACTAAAATTACTGCAACTTTAATTTTAACACTGTGTACACACTTAAATTTAACACTTGTTCTAACTGTTCACGCCACACATGATGTTTCTAGATGTTTGCATCAGCTTTGCTGGTGCTTGCTGATGCTGTGGGTTCAGCTGCTTCTGAGCTGGTGGTGGCTGCTGTTGTATCAGTACTGGGTACAACTGTGCTCGTGCTGGGTACGGCTGTTGTACCAGTGTTGGGTACAACTGTACTCGTGCTGGGTACGGCTGTTCTCGTGCTTGGTACGGCTGTTCTCGTACTTGGTACGGCTGTTCTCTTGCCGGGTATGGCTATTCTCGTGCTGGGTACGGCTGTTCTCGTGCTGGGTACGGCTGTTCTCGTGCTGGGCACTGCTGTTCTCGTGCTGGGCACTGCTGTTCTCGTGCTGGGTACAGCTATTCTCGTGCTGGGTACGGCTGTTCTCGTGCTGGGTGATTTTCTGCTACTAGTTCTTGCAAAATATTGCTTCATTTTTGGCATTAATATGGCACTATTAGTAAGCCCCTGAGACATTTTGTTTTATAACCAAAGAGCTGTAGTAAAAAAATGGTCAATTCCACAATTATTCTTCCACCAGCGGATAAATACTGTACGTCAATTGCAGACAAAGCTAAGGGCACTGGGTGCATACTGTACGAACGCAGACTAAGTCTATTCATACACCCTTCAGTAGGCTGGTGTTTAAGCCTGATCCAGTACATAAATTTCTCTTAAATATTCGATTTACATCAAATTATATATTTTTGGGTTATATATTTAGTTTAGCAACATTATTACAGTAATAAGAGCTATAAAAATACTTTGGAACTGATTTATTAATTTTATTATTTCGAAGCCGTAGATCACTGAACTGTGGTGACGAAATTGAACAAAACAAGCATGGTGTTGTGTGGACAGGGATTAGACCCCTCCACTCACGCTGGAGTTGTGCTGCCAATAACATGAATAATTTCTCAAATAGCAGATATCTATCATATTACAGTATATTTTTGGTTTTATTTAGTTTAGTTTAATTAGGATAATATTTATTAAAACACCAGTTTTAGAAATTTATTTATTAATGTGAAACGTTCAAAGTCATGGGTCACTGAACTATGACGACACAGACGAAAGTGAGTGAAACCTCACTGTAAAGTGAGGTTTACTTTACAGTATTCCCTTATCTGTCCACCCTCACTCGTCTTGTTTCATCACAGAAAATGTATATAAGAAGATTTCAACACATTAGCTAGCTATTCACGCTTCAGCCTTTAAATTAATTTACAAAGATACTTGTGCCACAAATCGGTGAACGAAAATCATTGAAACTCAGTCGTTCACTTGTGTGGATAACTCTGGCTGGTATTTGGTTAATATGCGTCACTTCTTGTGGCCCATTCTCGCTGGTGTTTGGTTCATATGATTCACTTGTTGTGTGGTCCACTTATGTGGTCCAACTTGTCTAATGAAGGAATTATTAATTGTAATCTGTGATAGAATAAGACAGTTTTCCACTACTCTGTGAACTCTGTCCCAACATCGTAAGCTTGTGTACCCTTGTGGTCCACTTGTGTGGTCCACTTATATGGTCCATTTGTGTGATCCAACTTGTCATATGAAGGAATTATTAATTGTAATCTGTGATAGAATGTGAAAGTTTTCCACCAGTCTATGAACTCTGGACGTCGTAAGCAAATCCGAACATCCCCCGCTTCGGCGAACCATTGTTCGTCGAACCGGGTGAGTAAATCCGGCCTGAAAAGTGTGCGAACTAGCCAGAGATTCGTTGAATCGGGGTACGTTGAATCGAGGTTGTACTGTATGTGACATATATATATTATATTCTACAATCAATCAAACAGTGTTTTTGCTGTTATAACACTATATACACACACATTATTTATACCTATCTACATATGTGTTCACCATAACGAATCACTAAGTTGGTTACAAGAGTGGCCGCGACACAGTACCCAGCAGACCCCACCTCCCTCCCTTCTTCAACACCCACTCACCAACATTCCTCCTCCCACCAGCTGTTATTGTATATATCCCACCTCCTCCTACTGCTATTGTTTTTATTACATTATTTACACATGTTATATATATAAGTATCTCCATGTTTTATTCACTATTGCTATACAACTAAGCTGGTATGGTGTCCAAACAGCATAATGGCCACCATACACTGCAAGACAAGTCAGCAGCCAGCAGACGATGCCACCTCCCTTGACCACGAGCCTGAGTTGAACCAGAACCTGCCCCCC